GGCCCAGGCTGGGGATTCGAACCTGCCACCTTAGGTGTATGTGGCTGGTGCCTTAGCCGCTTGAGCCACAGGTGCCGAGCCAATAACATGTTTTTAAGAATGATGTTGTTTATGTACTTCTGTAAAATCTCTATAATGGAAGGTGCTTGGTTTCTCTTAGCTGCTTTTGCATTCCCTTTATTGCAACGTGTTATTTTGATGGAGCTATGTGAGGAGAACCCTAGGACTTCATGGATCTTTGAAAGGGTCTCGGGCACTTTGAGAACTGCTTTTTCCATGTTTCCTTGCTGTTGCTCCACTGTTTGCTGTCTACCGTGTCATTGTAGTAGTTTTCTCATGGTGTTATACTTCCTTCCACCTCCGCCACGGCACTCTACCCAGGGGGATAGCTTGAAGCTCCTGTCTAAAAAAAGAAAAAAAAAAAAAAAAGGAACAAAATTCAGATTGATATTATACTTTTCAGTAGCAGTGTTAATGGCAAGAAAACAATGGAGTAATTTTAGTATTACAGACAGTATTAGAAAGTAACTCTGAACCTAGAAGTTTATATCCATTCAGGTGTGTGGAGAAGGCTTTCGAAGATTAGCCATACAGGTATCCACATGGGAAACATTATTGGAGAAAAATTCATGAGCTGGGGAAACAAATCTAGCAAATGGTACAAGACAGTTGACATATATTACATGTATACATATAAGATGTGTAAAATTAAAGAGTGATCAAATACCCAAGATTTTAAGATCTAAAATTTTAAGATTTAAGATTGTTGTTTTAAAAAATCAGCTAAGACTTGGCTCGGCACCCATAGCACAGTGGTTACAGCGCCAGCCACATGCACTGAAGCTGGCGGGTTTGAGCCCAGCCTGGGCCTGCTAAACAACAATGACAACTGGAACAGAAAAATAGCCAGGTGTTGTGGCAGGCATCTGTAGTCCCACCTACTTTGAGAGGTGAGGCAAGAGAATCACTTAAGTATAAGAGTTTGAGGTTGCTGTGAGCTGTGATGCTATAGTACTCTACTGAAAGTGACATAATGAGACTGTCTCAAAAAAAAAAAAAGAGGACAGTGCCTGTGGCTCAAAGGAGGAGGGCGCCCGCCCCATATGCGGGAGATGGCGGGTTCAAACCCAGCCCTGGCCAAAAAAAAAAAAACTGCAAAAAGAAAAAAGGAAATTGAGGACCTCAGTAATGCTTTTGCTTTTATGGGTTATATCTACTGATTGTTACCATATTAAAAACTAAAACTGAAAAAAAATTTAAATATTTATTGGTTAATGTTAT